AGCAAACACACAGAGCTGCCAATCCATAACATATTGATAAAATGCTGCAGTTGGTATATAATCCATATACTTTATAATCCTTATACCTGGTTTGGCTGAAGCTATGACAGTTACTCTTTTTTCTTTTTCTCAAAAACCACTTTGTAAGGTTCATTCAGTCCGTGCATTTATCTTTGTTAAATTACAGCATTTCCTGATATTCCTTGAAACAATTGAATTTTAAATTACATATTGCTAAGTTAGACTGTTCAAGAGATGCTATAGATAGAAATAGCCTGAAGCAGCAGAAAATGCCAACAACAAAGGGAAGTGAATTAATCACTAAGCCAGGAGATACAGTAATGATGCCCAGCAGCAAGTTGCTAATCATTAGAGGGCCTGGTTTGCCCCTCTGACATGTCAGAAGCTGCAACAGCCTTTAATTTAGTTTTGCTCCCATTGTTGGTCAAAACCACTGACAAAGAAACTGCACGAGTATGGAACAAAGCTATAATGCCACATCGAAGCTGGAAGTCCAAACCAAACTTGTTCAAAACTGAAATGGTATGCAATTTTAAAAGAAGGCTGATAAAGTCTGGAGAGTGTTCCAGTAGATCTGTCTTTCTGTGAGGACTGCAGTGAGAATGGTTGTGTGTAAACTCACAATAACTCACAATCCTGCTGATTCACGTGCCTAATGGTTTTAAAGCAAAGCTTTCATTTATTCCTCTGTCCTGGTGATTCACATGCCTAATGGTTTTAAAGCAAAGCTCTCATTTATTCCTCTTTCCAGAAACTGTTGCTGTGTTTCTGCTGTCTGTTCCACACCTGAAATCCTCCTCTCCTTTATAAAACACCCTCCACCCTCTGCATTGGTGATGTCTCACAGATGCCACCCCTGTGTGAGCCCCTGCTGAGTTAACTTAGGACAGGAAGGGCTTTAGGACAGGCCACAGCAAAAACCAAGAAAGGGGATGCCTTGCAATGCTGCCAAACCTGTTACAGTTACAAWGTGATTTTATAGATAGATGTTCTATTACTATTTCTTGTGCACATCCATTAAGAAATTTCTGGCAAGTCAAAGTTGAAATACTGTTTTTGATACTCATGACTGGAAATTATGAAGCTGCATATAGTTGGTGCTGTATTTTCTGTAAGCTGATTGCACCCTTTGATATGTTGGTAATTAATCTAATAAAACATACCATCAATTTAAAAGATTTGTTTTCAGTCAGTCACCACTTTTAACAAAACATTTCTCTGTATCTTCAGAAACAAAATAAGGTAAGAAATACCTGTATAATAAGGTAAGAAATACCTGTAATTGTGAGCTTCAGAGTATATCTTGCCCTGATGAGTAAAATTCAAGTAGTGCTTTCAGGATTAAAGCATCTGGAATCAAACTCTTCTCTCTTAACATTTTATATCCTCTGGACTATAGACTTTCTTAGGAGTTTTGGAAACATACACTGCAAGCAATGTAAACATGAAATCTATTTTCTTAATGTGTAAGAGAACATAAAGACCTTCAAACTTGTGTGAGAAGATAATTTTTCATGTATTTCTTATCTTCCATTCAAAGTGAATGACTCCCTTCTGTTTGCAAGTGCATCATTTCCTGGCAACAGTTGCATTAACAAAATCTATATTTTACTACAAGACTGATGTTCCTTTTGGTCCCTTTCAATTCAGTTTAATTTAATGGGTAGAGGACAGGATTAGAGGTGGCATCATAAGAACAGCTAAAGAGGTCATCTCTAATGGCTGAGGTTTTCTGATATGGAGGTTTTTATTCCAAGCAGTGGACATAAAGAAATGCTTCCTTTTAGATCTCTGTTATGCAGGATTTTTTCAGAATCTCTAGAAGTGGGAWCTCATTTAAATGCTATTTCCTTTGTTACAGTATCATGGCATTTCTCTAAATGGCCCTTTTTTGTCTTTCTTTCTGCAGAATGGTCTGCCTTCAGAACAAAACCGCTACGTCTTTAATGGTGATTTTGTCGATAGAGGGAAAAATTCCATGGAAATACTCATAATCCTATTTGCATTCCTTCTCATCTACCCCAACGATTTACACTTGAATAGAGGAAACCATGAAGACTACATCATGAACCTGAGGTACATCTTGGGGGCAGGGCAGGTGTCTGGCCTTTCACTAGAAATATTGTGAAAGCTACTTTAGCCACTGACACCCTAAAATAGAAATAATGTTTTATTAAGTTGTCAAGTGTAGCTTTGCCTCTTCAATGTGTGAGGGTGGGAAGGAATATCATCATTACACATGGACATTTGAATGGGGGTGATGTCTTGGATCTAGTCACAACCCATTGAAATCAGAGGGCTTAGTGCAGAATATCAAAATTGAGGAAGGACAGATGGAATATTTTAATTAATGCACATATTTAGTTAAAGCTGATATTTTAGTGACCTTTGAACTAAGATGTCACTTTTCAAACAGAAGGGGCAGGTAAATAACCTACCTGCTGCTCAGTGGAGTTTCATTAGTTGGAGGTGTCAGTGCAGGAACAGCTGAAACTCTCTTTTCTAACTCAGATATTTGCACTCAGCTATGCAGTGCTAACAGAGTGAGCACAGCCAGTGGCTCTRGCTGTAGCCAAAGTGGGACTTGGAGACAAAATCATCTCCCAGATGTGAGAATTCCTCAGTCCCACTCCCTACTGAGCTACCCCAGAAACTCTTTTGGTACCTGCTGCACCCTCGGATCATTTGATGTGTGCACAAAGATGTGTTGCTGTTTTAACACAGCCCTCTGTGTTAACACCTGGGTCCATAGTCAGGTCTTATTAATGGTCCATGGAAGAGAATTAGTTTCACATAATACTTACTTTTTCAGCACTTAATTAAAAAAGACCCAAATAACCCAAAAAACAATAAACGCAAACCAGGATCTGTTACTTAATCTACAAAGTAGGAGAATTCCTACCCAAAATGTAGAAAATATTAACTAAATCTATGATAGTATGGAGTGCACAGATGCATTTCTGTGTRTGGCTCTTTGCTGGGCATTTTGATWAGCAGTGCTGTACRTAGGTAMATTTGAAAGCTGAATGTTRTRAAAATGCCCCTTARCCAAAGATTTCTTRRTGYTACAATAATGAGGTATCAAAATCCTTGCCCTTATGGGGGAAAAGACATGACAGATGGCATTGTCTAAGAAAGTTCTGTGTTCAAGGCCAGGTTTGATAAAGCTCTGAGCAAACTGATTTGATTCTGAACAACCAGGAGGGTGTCCCTGCTATGGCAGGRGGTTGRAACTRYGTSATCTTTARGGCTGCTTCCAACCCAAACCATTTTAKGATATGATTCGATGATGAAATCATATTTAGGACAAAAACTCTGTGAAGGTTTGATGGGRATTTTTGCCATCATCAGTTCGGTTCCTTTGGAATTTCTCTCTGGTATCTGAAAAGGTAGAGCTGGCAAAAAGGCCACTTAATAATTATTGCCCCAGATTCTGTTTCTGACCTCTGTTACACACAAGAAACCAGTTAAATTCAATTCTCAGGACAGAGTGGAGGAAAGCACATTTCAGCTGAGGTGAGATGGAATGGCAGGCAAAAAAAGGGGACTAAAAACTCCTGAAAATACTATAGCATAGGAAACCATGGGACATACTGAACACCAGTTCATGATGCTGTCTTGTTTCCAGATATGGCTTCACAAAAGAAGTTTCAAAGAAGTACAAGGTAAGATTTCTCCTTCTTCCTCTGTATTTTTTTTTGTAGTCTTGCACGTGTAAAATKAAACCAGTGTAAACAAATAAATTTCCAACCAGTTCATTTGGGGGTAGCAGAGAATTTCTTTGGTGATGTAGTTGAAATAATTTTGGCTTATAACTCACAAAACAAGTTTAARTGCTAATCTCTTATGCCCAGAGAGCTATAGGATGAAATAAATAACATCAATAAGACCACTCAAGAACACCAAAAGAGGTGAACATGAAAGAAAAACTAAACAAAATMGAGACAATCAAATGGCCCTAAAGTAAATGTCAGAACGTGCTTGTCAGGTTTGCAGTTTGGGATTTCACTTGGACARCACTGTTCATATAAACTGTAGCAGACACTTCAGCAAAATCTTGAACTTAGAAGCAACAGAATCTGCCAGAAATAGGAKCTAACATAAGAATATATTTTACAGGACCACTGGAAACAGATTTTGTGTCTTCTGCAGGATGTCTTTAGCTGGCTCCCCCTTGCCACTATAATAGATAGCAAAGTTCTTATCCTGCATGGGGGGATTTCAGACACCACAGATTTGGATTTCCTGAATGCACTTGAGAGAAATAAGGTAAGAGATCATGTTGATGAGGGGATAGTTTTATTTTCTTTAAAAAATTCTGCAGTACAAATGCTAGGATAAACTGTTTGCATTAGGAAAGGAAATGGCTGCAGTAAGAAAAAGAATACTCCAATTTTTCTTCAATTTTTCTTCAGAATCAGTGCTTAGGAAGGAAGGTTGCAAGTAGTTCTTTGGCTCTCAATGTAACGTGSGTCTTTTGACTTTAAAATGGCTAAAAGCACTCCTGCAGTGATGACACATTATCCAGAAAGCATGARAACTACCTGATTCTCGGGCATTTCCAAACACTTCAGAAATCAATCTGGCCAGTTATTTGCAGCACTGCCTTTTGTCCTGGGCTGTGCTCCCACCATCTGCTGTGGGGGAAGTTCTCCACTGTGATGTGCTCCCTTAGCAGCAGATGAGAGCTGTACACGTGGGTGAGCCTTTCCAGAGATCAACCTTCAAGAACTGCCCTTGATAAAACACAATCTACTGCTTTTCAGGGATTCAGACAACAGAAATGTTCATGGGTCTTTTCTGAAATGGTGAGCAAACACAGCTCTTTCAAATTAGTGGAAAATAGCGTAGGATTTGGTCTCAATTTGGACAAYTAAATCAAGATGTGTGCTTGTGATCAGGGTGCTGAGGCTCCTTACAGTCCATGGAGATCCCAGAAATCTGGAGGAGATCATTGCTYAGGCACTGTGTGCAGTGCTGTTCATGGAAGTGCCCCAAAGGCTGGGCATGTCCCCTCTGGCCTTTGCCTGCTCTGAAGAAAACCTTCTTTTGGGGTCTCCTCCACCTTCTTTGGGGTCCTCTTCAGGCCAGATTTGTGTCTGCCCCCTCCCACTAATTCACAGACATCGTGGAGCATCTCATGTGGCAYGGGAGATCAGTGAGCAGCTCAGTGTACCATCAGTGTCTGTGCAATCTGAAGCTATTTCTGTCATCCTCATCTTTTCTAGTGCTGAAATAAATGCTTCACAGGACACTCAGTTGTGTCCTTTTCAAAGATGTGAAAAAGGGCATGAACATTCTGATCATTGGAGTTTGGGCTCCATTGGCTGTACTACTGTACACTAAAACTCAGTACCTGACTACAAATAGAGGTGTCCTAACCGTGAGCTGAGTTCTGGCCATGCTTTCACCATGCTTTCATTCTGATTCCATCTCTGKGAAATGCAGAATGAACAGGTCAAATGAGACACGTGTGGGCCACAACCCAGGGCGGTGTCACTCGAGGCCAAGGGATGTATTTTAATTGGTACAGCTGGCAGGGCTCAAATACTGCTCAGTGCACTGGGGAATAACCCAGTGTTGTGCATTTTGTTTTGAATTGGTCTTCTTCCTCGTTAAAAAAGAAAATCTAGGGCTCTGCTCACTGTGTATGTTTTATTGAGTTTTTTGTTTGGGTTTTTTTTAGTTGGTTTGGGTTTAGTTGGGTTTTTTTTGGTTTGGTTCGTTGTTTGGTTTGGTTTTGGGCTTTATTTTGGCTTTGCTCTGGAAATAAGCTTGTATGAGAGAATTTGAAATGAGAAGATACTCCCTGGAGAAGAGTCTGTGTTAATAGTCCTTCATGGAGCCATAGCACACCACTCCAAAGAAGCAAATGCCCATGCATGTAGGAGGAGTTTGATTTAACAATATATGGCCTGATTTAATAATACTCCTTTATAAATAAATACTCCTTTATAAATTTCACTGCTGTCTTCCTGATACTCCATTCATTTTAGCCACATTAATCTAACAGCATGGCACTGTGTCAGAACAGCAGTGAATGGAGTTTCACCTTCAGCCTAATATGAATGTCTATTTTGTTTCTTGCAAAGCTGGGCTCTTAAGCATCTTCCCTGAGCCCAGGCCATACTTGCAGAATAACAACACCTTAGGATTGACTGTGTTGGAATGAGTCTGTGTTCTGGGTGAGAATATGAAAGCAGCTCTAAGAGCCTGCTTACTGATAAAGCAAAATTTCTGCAAGTGCTAAACACCTGCAGCTTCTCCCAGACCTGTGAACTCAGGACATTTTGAGAGTTAACATCAGTTGAACTCTCAATGAGTTTTCCTGAGTCCAGGAAACATGAGCTGATGGGCCTTTGAGCCAACATCTCTGTATCGATTTTCGTTATTGTGATGGTAACTTCTATTTTTTTTTTTTTAAGTTGAAATCTTTGATGCGGCCACCAAAGTCAGTGAGAGACARACAGGAGCAAACGAAGAAGAGAATTGCCCCAAGCAAAGCCAGTAAACACACTGCCAACCAGCACACTGCAATGAAGACACAACCCATCCATTCAGCAGGCTCTGCTGAACCTTCGGGCTCTAATTCACCTCCAGACCCCGCCCTGGAGGAATGGAAACAGGTAGGTGAAACAAAAAACAGAATGATAGCAAACCCTCCTACACAAAGCCAGCCCGTGTTCTGTACAGGCAGGGTGTTTATCAGTCTGAGGGAACTCTGAACAAAACACTCCTTCTAAGGAGCATATTACACACCTTTTCGTTTTTTGGATACTTTTTGTAGAGCTGCTAATGAAGGCTTGTGATTTTTTTACCTTGTGAAAGGAGAAGGGAATGTGTTTACAAACAGACTCTGACTCTGGGTTCTGGGGTGAGATAAGGCTGATACTGAGAGATAAAAAAGAAATAATGAGAAGGATTTCTATAGGAATTCTTTTGATTGACTTATCTCAGACTATGTAAATAAACTACCAGAGCAGAGACACAGAGATGGATATTGAAAGGGGGCAATGGATGATAGAAGGGGGGTTTCATCAGGCATTTTGGGGAGCCTGAACCTCTCAATACCTCAGCAATGGGGAAAGAGAGAGGGAACTGCAGCTGGGAAATTGGGATAAAAGGAGGCTGCGTCCTTTATGAATTTGAGAGACCCCATGGGAAATGTCCATGACCTCTTCCTTTATTCATGAATAAGGCTGTGGGACTCCTCTGTCTCCTTTTTGGACATAAACCTCGGGTGCTTGTGGATTGATTTTCCTAACACTTGCAAGTAAAATGTGCCCAATTTCTTAGCCTTTAGGAAGAGGAAAGTGCTCAGTAKGAAATGGCTGTGCCTGCCCTCATGTGGTTGGATCTGCTGGTACAGAACTGGGTGTGGGTTTAAACAGGTCAGACTTTGCAATTGGTGGTGACATAAAGCACCTTTTTTTGGCTGTGCTTTTGGCAGCTGAATGCTGATATAGCCCAAAAAAGCCACCCAGCTCCTGGRACCTACAGGCAGATCACTCAGAAGTGGGAACTTTTTGTTCTCTGGCTGTTCATTTCCTCTTGAATATTAGAGCCCATATGGAGCTTTTGTTATACTGTAATTTAATAAATTGTGACAGTTTGTAAGGCTTAGTTTCTCTGAAAATCKGATTTCCCAGGATACCTGACCTACAAACTAACATAATGGGCACAAGGAACCTCCTCTTTCCCCCAAATCTGACACTCAAACATCCACCAGGCCACGCTCACAAACATCCAGGGAATGTGTCAGTGCAAACCTTGGCCAGCAAGGGCTCAACAAACACATTTTGACTGATGTTTGCTGCTGACTAGAATTAAACCATGATAATTATCTTCATGTCTGAACCCTGCTAAAATGCTAATATGTGAAATTTGGTTTGAAACATGAGCTAACTGAAGACAATAAAGGCAAAGGCAACTCTGGTCATGTTTAGAGCAGGCACTCCCAAGCTTAGTTTAAATAAAGTCAGTGACCCATGTGGTTATCCAGTCTGTCCTGGATAACAGAAATTGCCTCTCCTGCCCACATGTGAAGAAGGCAGCTTTTGTTGCCTTTGAAATACATAAGGAACAGTACCTGGACTATCTGCCCAAGTCTGAAAACCTCAGCTGTGAAAAGAGGTGCATTGCTGAAAA